CAAAGTTATGCTCAAAATCCTACAAGCTAGGCTCAAGCAGTATGTGGACCGAGAAGTACCTGAAGTACAGACAGGATTTCGAAGAGGCAGAGGAACTAGAGATGAAATTGCCAACATATGCTGGATCATGGAGAAAGCTAGGGAGTTCCAGAAAAACATCTGCTTCTGCTTTGAAGCCTTGGAATTGTGGTGCTGAAGGAGACTCCTGCGAGTCCCCTGGACTACAAAGCGATCAAACCGGTCAGTCCTAGAGGAGATCAACTCTGACTGCTCTTTTAGAAGGCCAGATAGTGAAGATGAAACTCAAATACTTTGGCCAGCTAATGAGAAGAAAGACTCCCTGGAGTAGAGCCTAATGCTGGAAACAACAGATGGCAAAAGAAGAAGGGGACGGCAGAGAATGAGATGGCTAGATGGAGTCATTGAAGCATTTGGTGTGAGCTTGAGTGGACTCCGGGGGATGGTGGAGGACAGGAAGGCCTGGAGGAATGCTGTCCATGGGGTCACGATGGGTCAGACACAACTTCGCGGCTAACAACAACAAATTTTATCATTAACAGTCGCTTTTCTGTTTTTTGTTTTAGTTTTATATAATTTTATGGAATTTGTTATTGTTTGCCGAGGCATGTGGTGACGGCATATAAAAGTTTTAAATAAATAAATAAATAAATAAATAAATAAATAAATAAATAAATTTTTATTAACAATCATTCACAGCACTTCTTACTGCTACTGGGGTTGCCAGTCCTGTGCTGCATCATGTTGCAAGCCTTGAGCATGGCCATGGGGCCAGTCCCAGGTCCAGCACGCAATCTGCTATCACTGGGAGGAGAGCGAGTGGCATGCCATTCTGGGTGGCTGCAGCAGTTGGGAAGGGGCACGTTCCCTGCACAGCTGCCTGTGGACAGACACAGTGTGCCCCCCTCTTTCCTGTCCCCCCCTTGCCTGTCTGTGGGGCTGGTGCCAGCCGTCCTCACTAACCGACCCCAGCCAGCCACCCCCTCACAGGCCACTATTGGCCTCCAACTTTACAAAACATTCTTGAGTGAAATCAGAGAAGGAATATCACTATTAGCTAGAATATGGTAAGGAATCTAGAGTAGAGAGACGTCACAAGAATCCAGAAGTTTCTGGATGACAAATACCCATATATTTAAGACCTCCTTGAAACTGAAAATAGTGAAACAAAAATTGGGGGTTATCTTATATGCCCAACATATGACAAACACCAGAAAAACAGCCCAAACTATCAACCTCATATGTGTATCACCTTATACACCAGTATGTGGTATTTAAGCTGCACTAGGAATGCACCATAGCTTGTCATTATGTGCAAACCCAGTGCAGGTGGGCTGTTAGGGTGTTTAACAAGCCACCCACAACCCTAAAACAGGTCATAGGTTATGAGTAGCTTATCGATCACACCAATAGATGCATGTATAACTTGCAGCTACAACATAAAATCAACCCATCATGTGTGAATCAGGACAGAGTATCAATTGGCCAGCACACTATCTTTCAACAATACCAAATCAGAGGTGCGGGGGCAGGATCATGGATAACAGGATATAGGTATCCTCTGATATATGAGTTATCATCTTGCAGTATAATTAAAAGTACAGTGGTACCTCGGCTCATGAACGCCTCAGTTCACGACCAAATCGGGTCGCAAACAAAAATTTCATTAAAAAATTAACTTAGGTGAACTCCACATTGGGTGGCAGCCCGATAACGGTCATCTCCCCACCCTGCCCCCCAAGTGAGGAGATGGCCGCAATTGTGCTGGGGCCGGGGGGTGGGGGAAGATGGTCAAGATCATGCCCAACTTTCCTGCAGGAGCACACCCACGATCTCGGCCATCTCCCCCCCAGCACAAACACGCCCATCTCCCGCCCAATGCACTCACGTTTGCACCCGTCTCTCTCCCCTGCAGCGTACCCTGTTAGCACCCATCTCTCCCTCCTCCAGCGTGCCCACAATTGCACCGTCTCCCCCCCTCCAGCACGCAGAGATGACGGGCGCGAGAAGATGGCTGTGCTCATGCTTGCGGGGGGGGGGGGGGAGATGGCTGCGATCTTTGTTGTTCTTTGTCACTTTGCTTCACATTTTTCTGATTAAAAAAATAGTTACAGAATGGATTAACCTTATTTACATCGAACCTTATTGGGAAATTTAACTTGGGTCATGACCAGAGTCCTGGAACAGATTAAGTTTGTGAGCCAAGGTACCACTGTACTGTCAAGACTGCTTTTCATGATAGCATTTCCAAATGGAGATTGCCATTCTTGTATGAAGAGAGATGGAGATTCAGCTTTATACATGCATCTGAAAGCCAAAGATAACCATTTGCACTGCCTCAATTGCACACGTTTAAATTACTCTCTGTTTGGGGAAAAAGTAGAAAATGCACACATTTTCACAACTGATGTGACACAGCGTCTGCTGTACTGTGGTATCTTTAACATAAGGAAAGAAATGCATGCACGCTTTTAGAATTAAGGCTTAGGCTGAAATCCTATGCATGAGCACTGTGGTTCTTACTTCTAAGTAAATGCACACAGAATTTTAAGCAACTATTTTACTCAGGTACGGAGAACTTTATTTAGCTCTCCCACCACTCAGAGGCACATGAGTACATCAAAACAAGCCCTTTGTAGCATAATGAATTTATATTTAATTGCATGCACTTAAAAGCTCGTGTTAGTGCAGTCTTCATGCTATTTCATTTACCATACCTGAGTACAGTACACTGCCATGCTGCATGTCAATAAAAAGAGATACAAGACAAAGAACATTAGCTGTGGAAAATTTCTGAAAACAACCTGTGTGACAACTTATGCATATGCTGCTGCATTAGAATGTGTAAATGTAAGTAAATATACCTACTGACCAAGGGTAGACTAAGGGTTGCATCCTATGTTAGTCTAACTTGACCATTCATTTCAATCAGACTATTTTAAGCAGGGCAAACCTTGGATACAAACCTAATAATTTAAACATTTAGGGTGCAATCATATGCATACAAAAAGCCTTACAACTCGCAACATTAGCACATGCTTAGCCCATCAGGGCCAGTGCTATTCACTGCATCAGTCTTTCTTTATTTCCATTATTTTTAAAAAAATATAGTCAGGAGGCAGCTGGTTGCTCATGTTATTTTTACTTTAAAATATATTATCCTTTTCTTCAACAAAATGAGCCATTCTCCAATGAATGTGGTTAGCATCGGGGCAACTGAAGCAAACTCTACTTTATTGCTATAGCATTTTTATTCCTGTAGGTGAGTGAGTATGGTGTAGCACTTAGAGAGTTGGCCTGGGTTCCAGGAAATTCAAATTCTAGTCCCCACTTGGCCATGAAACTCACTAGGTCACTGGAGGTCAGTCACTGACTCTCAGCCAAACTTGTCTCACAGTATGAGAGGGAGACTTTGAGCCATCTTGGGTTCCCCATAAGAGGTAAATAGGTGAAAGTGAGTGTTTCTTGTTTCTCCCAGTGTGGTTGGCAACTAGTTTTTGTTGTTATTCCTTATCTAACATAGCAGTAGTAAAAGCACTAAATGCCAGAAAGGGAGAAAAGAGAAGTGCTAAATACAACTTGTGGCTGTCTAAAGCTTCCCAACCCCACACTGCAAATACAATCACAAAGTCCAAGTATTTAAGTAACCTGGTGGTGCTCCTAGAATTATACTCTGTGGGTACAGCCCAGCTGAACATAAGCCCTTTAAGTCCTCAATATTTGTTTCCAAGCTTGTTCTGAACTCCTTTCCATTAAGAAGGGTCTGTCATTTCTAAATTTCACCTCATGAATAAAACAAACTATGTGACTTGAACTGCATTTCTCTTCCTTTGCTTCTTTTCTTTTGACAATTTTTATTTTAGTTTATTTTCTGATAGCTATTTCCCTACTATGAAATTCTTTCCCCATTATCTTGTTTGTGGGCAATTAATAGCTTGAGTTCTTAGTGACTTTTAGCAGTTTATAATTTTAAATGGCTTGGGACCATTGCTGCAACTGAATTCCTTTTTTTTAAATGTTTTATAGTGAAATACTGTACAAGTCTCCTCAGAAGTAAATTTAAGCTCAATGGGATTTACTCCCAGATAAATTCCATTGCAACTTAAAGCTTAAAACAAAGCTTTAAGTTGTTTTATTGTCAGCAGTTGTTTCATTGTCAGCAGTGTAAGCTGCCCTGGGAATTTTATACTGAAATGCAGAACTGAAAGGTCTAAAACAAATAAACTTATAGGGTGATCCTATGCATGTTTACTTGGAAGTAGGTTTCCTTGAAGTCAGTGGATTTACTTCCTAGCAAATATGCTTTGAAAGCAGCCTTAAAGCCCTGATATGTACAAATGTGACCTCAAATATACGTTTCCATTTTTTTAAACTCTATAAATACCTCCCCTGAAATACTCTCCAACATTTCAAAACTAGCTATTTAGTTCAAAAATCATCTTTATTAAACTAATACTACTAGCAACAGGCAGTATCCTAAACTGCTGCTGCATGAGTGGAATAGAATCTGTTCAATAGACCACTAATGCAGGATGAACCAGTGTTTCCTGAAACAACTAAAAGTAAGCTGTAACACTAATATGCAGAATGGGGCAAATCAAAGGAGGTCTAAGAGGGAAACTCTGCCAGCTTGTCCCATATTGGAAATAAGTGTTCCTTCTCATTTCAGAGGGTATTTCAGGGACTGTCAGTCCTTGATGAACTACCAGACTGTTCCACTAGTGCAAAAGAACTAGCAGAGGTGGAGCGGAAGCATAGAATTCTTGCCAATGTGTTACAGACTGTACAAAATCAAATGTATATACAATGCATAGTTTAAACAGAATCAAATTCTAGCTCTGAACAGCAATCCCTTGTCTACTCCACTTACATAAGATGTTTTTGAAAAACCTGAAATATTTTTCCTGGACACAAAAGCAAAATGAGGTTTGGAACACAATATTTTAGGGCACTCCTGAAGGAAGAAAAACAACAGTACTTACTCCGTTTTTGGGAAACTGCTTGCAAACAGGCTGTCACAATATCACAATTCTTCTGCACTTTATGCAAAAGCCTGTCTTTTTGTTTCAAAAGGCGAAGCAGTTTTGCTGACTGGACACAAACTCTATAATTCAGCTCTTGTATTATTGTTGTCAATTCATTGTTATCTACAAACAAACAAGAGGAAAATGGCTGAAACCTCTAACTTAAGCATAATTTCCTCCTATATTAATATCTGTGCTAGTCTCCCCAACTGGGCATTCTCAAGATTCATTGGACTACACCTCTCATCATTTCCAGTCAGCCTGGAAGTTGTAAACCAGCACATCAGGAGGGCACCAAGTTGGGAAAGCTTGCACAAAATGACCTTACCATATAAATGCATATTCTATGAGAAATTCCCTGGAACGCTCATAACATTAAGAATTACACAGCAGAACAATAAAGATCAACAACTGTATTATTCATTAGAGGTTGCCACTCTGCCAAAAGATACCTAAAGCAACATACAGAATTGAAATTATTATTATTATTATTATTATTATTATTGAGAATATAGCTTATCAAAAATAAAACAAGTAAAACTGTTAGCACCATATCAAGGCATGTGAGTTAGAACTGCACTTGAATTCCTTCTGTACTTCACAGTCTACAACTTTGGACATAGGTGCTAACTTGAGAGACATTTTCATTTTTTTATGAATATTCAGACTGTGTTATAAGGTAAATATGATTGTTAGGTAAATATAAGGTAATTATAAGGTTATTTACCTTATCCTTGCATACCAAACTATTTGCAAAATTAAATTACAACAAGTTATTCACTTCCTATATATTATTCCGTGCATGGCAAAATCATTTGGCAAAGAAGAGTGTGCAGATATGCAGGATTGTGCCTTCAGCATCTTAGAATGCATTGTTTAAACCACAGGCTGAATTTGAGATGCTCATGTGTAAAATTCACCAGTTCTATAAAAGCAAACCACCAACAGAAATTTGTTATTAAAATACCAATTTCTTCCCCAAACAGTTTTGACTTCATGGTAATCTCAGTTCACCAGCAATTTCAGAGGTGAAAAGGTGTGCTATTCAGTGTTTCATTCAGTGTAGAGGCTACACTGAATAAAATAGCAAAGTGTTACAGAAATCTGGTTTACTCATTTAATACAGTAGAGAACTATTCATTTTACTTGCATAAAATATATTTATAAGGCACCCTCTAGTGGGAAAATCAGATATTACAAACAAATATTTAAGTTAAAAGCCACTATTCATGAAATTTGCTAAAATACGGAAAATGTTCTATCTATAATCCATAACTGAATGTAATAACTGCACTTAATGTAAGTGACCACTACACAAGCAATAGCTCTTAAAAGCCTAAACTTTTCAGTTTGAGGGAAACTGAAATCTATAGCAGTACAATTGCCAGTAAGGAAATAGGAAATGACTTTGCTGGAAAGCAAGTTTGGTTTGGCTTGGATTTTTAAAGAGACCTTACCTCTTTTAGACAAGATAGAATCACACCTTTCTGAAAAAAAGGTGCCACCACTACCCTGACCCGTTCAATGAGTCCCCCACCCACTTTCTCCTTTTAATGCCAGGAAGGGCAAGGGTCCAGCACCTGAGTGGTAGGCCTAGTTCTCCAAGGACCCAGGTTGTATTCCTCACAAATTGGAAAGTATCAGTTGTAATTGGACAAGCAGGGAACAAGATACAAACAATATTATCTGCAAACTGTCATACCAATGGTTGGTCACAGAGAGTTATAAGGGCCAGAATGCTGAGAAGGGTCAGTAACTCAACCCAGACAAGACATATGGGCTGTTACTGGGCAATGTTTGACCTGTTCTGGAGCAGTTGCATTTAACCCCTAAAGTATCAGGTATGCAGTCTGAGAGCACTCTTTAATCCAGCATTGCCACTGGAGGCACAAGTGACCCCTGTAGCATTTTTTTTTTTTTCAGGCTGATATTGCAATTGTGACTCTATTTGGTCAAACATAGTTTTGCTGCAATTTCCACATTCTGGTAACATTCCTGTTTAATTGTTTTATACTACAATAGGGCAGACTTTGAATAAAGTACAGAAACTTTAGTTCATCCTAAATCAGGCAGCACAATGCGGTCCGGTGAAAAAATTATGCCAGTACTGTGCCATTTCCACTTGTTATCAGTCCATTTTCATGCTGAATTATAGGTACTGATTTTAATCATCAACAGAAACAGTTTCAATCCAGGTTACCTGAAGGATTGCCTCCTCCAACATATACCAATTCAGACCTTAATATCCTGTTTTGAAACCCTGCTTTGAATACCTGTCCTGAAATAAGGCTTACTTACTACTGAAAAATGGTGGCACCCCAGCTGTGGAATGCCCACTACTGACACTGTAGTCTTTCATCACTAGATGAAGACCTTTATTTATTTTACCAGACTTATGACTATAATATTTTGGTAGTTTTAATATATGTGAGTATTGTGGTGTTGAGTATTGTTAAATTTATTCTATATCATTTTCTGACTTCATTGATAGCAACAATTCCAGTCAGCCTTGATAGAAAGTGGAGCAGCTGTAACTGTGGCTCCACCGGAATTGGAGATTCTGGATGCACTATTCCAGTGAAGATCATAACAGAAGACACGTTTAGTTTGCTCAACAGGAACGGATTGCTTTCCACTATAGCTTATCCACAGACACATCCAAGGCGTTTCTGCAGCTGTTAAGGAGGCAGTTCTGCCCCTGCTTTCCAGCAGAGTTTGTATCTCTCTCTTTCTTGCAGTATTCTTGCTAACTTTTACTGGATGCAATACCCCAAGCGTGGTGATGCAGAGTAGGGGAAGGAGACTTGAATTTCTGCCTACAGGGCAGCTGTTAGCGATGAGCAAATGAGATGACTCCCCTTCCTTTTCACCTTTTAAACAACGACGTCCACCAGGACAGCGGCTTTGGCAGGGCTTCCCCAACCTGGAACCCTTCGGATGCTTGGGGTTTCAGTTCCATCAGCTCCAGCTAATGCCCAGTCATGCTGCGAGCCAGACTGGGGGCACCAGGTTGGGGGAGGCCGTGCTACAGTGAGCCGCAGTCGTCTTTACCTTTCTGAGCCAGGTACTTCCTCTGATGCCGCTGGCCGGGCCTCCGCTGCAGCTCCTGCAGGAAGCGGGACTCGGCGCTGCTGCCCCTGCCCCCGGGGAAGGCGTCGGAGCCGGCGGACGCCTCCGTGGAACTGTCCACGCTGTCCCGGTGGCGGGCGCGCCCCACGCTGTAGAGCTCGGTCAGGAGGCCGCTCACCAGCTCGGAGGCGCGACTGGCCCGCCTGCTCCGGCTGGCCGCCGTGGCTCCCTCCTGCTCTTCCTCCTCCTCCTCCTCCGCCAAGCTGTCGGCACTGCTGCCCACCCTGCCCCGCGCGGGCTCCTCCGAGGAGCGGCGCCCTCCTGTTGCAGGGTCCTCTTCGTCAGCCAGGCTGACCTCGGCGAGCTCCATCCCGGAGCCGCTCCACGGCGCTCTCGCCACAGATGACACCAACGCGCTGGCCGCTCGAGGGCCAGAGTTCCGGGTTCGGCTCATTGTTCACGAAATAGGGGTGGAGAATCAGAGGAATCTGGTGGCGGGAGGAACACCTGTTTTTTCCCTGGAAGAGGCTATACTGCGCTGACGGAGTGTCACAACCCTGCCTTTCCCCTGCTAAATGAACGCGCTGCTTTCCACGGTTCTCGCCCCCCCCACCACCTTCGCGCTGCAGGTGCTGGCTTCCAAACATCCCCGCGCGATGCACCTGCTGCTATCGGCCAATCGCGGCTCCTCGAGTCACCTTTTTCCTCTAGCGGTGCAAGTTCAAAGGGGAGCTTCTGCGTAAAACTGCTGCAAGAGAAAAGCTCGTCGCTTGATTGTTTGGTTAGGATTCTATCCAGAGCAAGCACTTCGTCCACCCCTCAGTATACAACTTTTAGCTGAATAAAATGACTGTAAGAACAAGAAAGAATCGTGTAACACCTGCAAGATTCAGACTAACATTGCTACCAACCTGGAAATTATTAGGTTTCCCAAGAGTAAGAATCATTTGATGCAACTTCTTTTAGAATAGACTTGACTAGACTTGTACTGTACATTTGTTACTCTTTCAGGTTCCATGTGTTCATTTTTATGTGTAACTACTCAAGGAGTGAGCACAGGTGTTTTCCTCCAGTATTGTATTAAATATGCTTGTTCAGAAATGTTCCACTAATTGGGACAGATTTCCTAGCAGAGTTTCTCTAGGGTGCTTTCCTATTCCTGACACTCATGACAGGAAAAATTCAACAGCTGCTCCCACCCCAGTGGGAATCCTGTATTGCAAATGGATGCACCTGGAGAGTCTTCAACTGTTGCCAGTGCCTGTACAGAAGGCAATGTGGCAACCTGAGTAGGAAGATAGAAGCTACTTGCACAGTGGAAATGGGGAGGTAGGGAATAGGAGCATGTTCCAGAAAGGATCAGGCATTTGTCTGTCTTCATTTTATTTCTCTTTTGAAGATTCTTAGGCCCAATTCTATGCATGTTTAAGCAGAATAAAGGCCTATCTGAAGAATGCTGAAAGTGCTGGGACTTTTTTCAGTCTCCATGTGCATGGGATCACACCTTAAGGCCCCTTTTAAAGACAAATAGGAGAATCCCACAGGTGCAGCTTATCTATCACAATCTAGCAGCTTTAAAAAAATAACTTTTTCAGACATTTTCTGTGTAACCAAATAGTACATCTCAATGATTATTTGGTATGGGAGAGAGAGTGTGTCAAAACTAAGAGATGAGTGAGGGCCTCCAGGCAAATATGAACACAGGTTTATTGCTTATAGAAAATAATGTTTGTGTGTGACAAAAGAGCAAGCCCGAAATGTGCTAAAAGATGAACTGAAGACCACCTTAGATAGCTATTTACACTGTTTACTTGTTGGATTGGTTCTAACTTTTTCAAACAGCCTAATCCTAAAACCAAGCATTAATTTCATAGGATTGCTTCATATCTTTGTATACTTGATCAACACAATGAAATATTCATTTAGGCTGCGATCTTTGTAACACCAAGCAAATCAATTGGGAAGGCTTCTGAGTAAGATCACATTGCTAGTGAATAAACTATGGCAGACAATAAGCAATATTTTCTTATCCATTCAGTTACATTTTATAATGTTCATATAGCTGGTGAGTAATCAAAGTATTAAAAACTTGAATAATACTTTTAATTAGCTGTAACAAGCTATGAAATGAAAATAGATATGACAAAAAGCAAATACAAAACTAAATAAATATAGCAACTAGCATTCATTTTTTTCTTGTTCATCTAACTTTTCAGGCATGTGACTGGAACTTGGTTGCCTTGTATTTCCATCTTGCAGCAGGCTGATGAGTAGCTAGCAGTCATGCAAGCAAGAGCCCCGGTGTTGGTGGTCACCTGCCAAGTGCACATCTTACTAAAGGCTGCTACACAGGCTGAACAGTAGCTTCCCTAATCCTGATGCTCTCCGTATGTGGACTACAATCTTCATAATAATTAAAGTTTAGTCCAATGCATCCCTACAGGACAGAGTTGTGCTGCTGTAAAAGCCTGTGTGTCGAGTGGGAATGGAGACATCTATGATCCTGTTATTAACTCTGTGTCCGCAGGTGCGGCCCCAGGTCGGATCGTGATCTTGATGCTTTGGAAAGGTGGACTTGAGCTTCTGCCTTGTAACCTTTCTGTGGCCCTATGGACCAAAAAGTTGGATCTGTTTAAATATATATCTGCTACCTCTTTGGTTCATTTGTACTCTAGAGAAGGGGCCAAGGGGCCGATTCAGCTCACTAAAAGGCTCCCCTTGCATGCTAGGTACAGATGCGAATGGCTACACTTCTTGCCCCTATTCTAAGAGGGTGAAAAAGAACCAAACCCGTAGCTGATGGACTCCGATTTTTAAAGTCATGTCTGCCTTGGCCCTCACAACTGCAGTCGCTTCCAGGCTGTAGCCTAGACTGAATCACAAGCGCGCTGCAAAGCCTCTGCGGAGAAAGGGGCTGGCAATTGCGTGAGCAACGTGAGGCAGCCACCTGGGCGGAAACCGGGAGCCATAAAGAGCCAGTGGGCGGAGTGCGCGGCCCGGCTACGGCGCTCTCGGAAGCTCCCGGTCATGTGACGCGGTCGCCGCCGCTGCTTTTGCTGCTACTCCCTCCGCCTAGCCAAGGGGAGGCGTAGACGAGGGAAGCGCGTATCCTTTCCTCCCCGCTCTTGTCTCTCGCCCAGGTGCAGGCTCGTGCAGCCTCCTCCTTCGCTTGCATGTCTGGTTCGGGTGCAAGGATGTCGCGAGCCGCCGCCGCCGCCCCTCTTATCTGGCCGCCGCCGGCGCTGCTGCTGCTCCTGGCCTTCGGTCCCTGTGTCTGGGTCGGCGCTGGGGTGGCCGCCAGCCGTATCAGCGGGGCGCGGAAGCCCAACGTGGTGCTCATCCTCACGGACGACCAAGACTCCTACCTGGGCGGAATGGTAATCTATGCGCTTGCTTGACGCGGCCCGGCCCTAAGAGGTCTTGGGGTCTGCGGTGAAGGGGAAGGCGAAGCGAGAGACGAGAAGCAGAACAGCCCCGTCATTGACATGGCTGGGGAAGGAAGTAGGGGTCGGGCGAGCTTGTGCTCCTTCTCTACTCAAAGTACCAGGAGCCTGTTAATCTTCTTCAGTAGTCTCTGCACTGAGTAGATAACATAACGGGTTAAGAATACGCCTGTTTGTTAGAGGGGTCCAGCAAGAACTTGCTTTGTAGAAAAGCCGGTGAGGGTGTTGTTTGGAGGCTGTGCTTGCTGGCCTTTTGTCAGCCCGACCTCGGGAACTGCCTTGCAGCTCCCTTATCCTGGTCCTTCTAGGTTTTGAGGCTGGAATTGCTGTCAGTTAAGGGGACTTTTTGCTGGTGGAAAAGTCTTCTAAATTCTCTTTTGAGAATTCAGTACTACTTGGATACTACAGCTGCTATTCAATAGGTTACTACTCTTAACCGGTGTCTTTGTTAGTATGTGTAAGCTTCTCATTGCTTGTCTCTTCGTGGTGGTTTACTTTCTTCTGGGAGAATCTAACAAAATGTGAAAGTATAAACACACAATTTGGTGTATTACAATTGCAGCCTTTTAGCAATAAACACATTTAAAAATATTTCTCAAGGGAAGACCTATACAAACTTGCCTGGGAGTATGTGGCATTGAATTAATTGAAACTAATTTCTGCATAGACATATATATGACTCCATTGTGAAAATTATCTTACATTGTAAGTGCTTGGCTTTAGCAAAATGTTGATGTGATGTTTTAATAAGGGGTGCCTGTTTCTTGGGCAGCTTTAATAATGAAGTTAAAATTAACATGCAAAGAGATCAGTGATACAAGATAGTCATTTCATGTCTATAGCACTCCATTCTGAACTCTCTGGGTGGTTTGCAACTGTAGGGTTTTTGTGGTTCTGACCTTACTATTGTGTTTATATCCTGCTTTTTCTTCTGTTTTGAGGAACACCTTACATAGCTCCATCTTTATCCTCCCAACAACCACCCTGCGAGGTGGGTTAGGCTGAGAGTGAGTGGCTGTGCAGAGTCACCCAGTGAGTTGCATGGCTGAGTGGGGACTAGAACCTGTTCCTAGTCCAGCTCTCTAATGGCTATGAAACACTGGTTCTTCCTATCTTTAGGAAAGAAATAGATATCAAATTCAAGAACCCCAGCTTTATTTATTGGAAATGCTCAAAATAGAGACATGAGTTGACTAAGTTTTTTTAAGCAGAAGAATTTTTGTAAGTTATTTACTACTTCTGTGTTTATAGTTTACACTTTGTATTATGTGGCACTGTAGGTGCTTTGGCAGAGAGGCAGTGAAATTCAACTGCTTTTATAGGATTCAAGTCTAAAGATTTCATTGCTGAAGAACAAAATGTGAGAAGCTCTTTTGGCCAAGCTAGAATGTTCTTCCTACTCCTTTATTGGTATTAGGGGAAGTTTGAATAATGTAATCTTGTGCTTGTTGACTTGAAAGTAGAGCAACCATTTTCAGTGGAGTGTTTTCCCTGGTAAGTATGCTTAGCTGCAGAGCCACAAGTTCTTGTGTTGTCTGGAGTCATACTACAAGTTCTGTTCATATTTATTTCCTTTATTGCAGACACCACTGAAAAAGACCAATGCTCTGATTGCAGAAAGGGGGATAACCTTCTCAAATGCAGTAAGTACTAATTCAGTTATTGCCATGTTAAGTTTTGTGAAGTTGTATTTTGCAATCAAGCTGACTATATAGGAAACCATAAAGGGGGGGGGAGTAAGGGCAGGATTTTGGAGACATGTTTTATTGAAAGCATGAAGAGAACTATGGTAGAAACTCGGGGGATAATATTTGGGCTTTCTGTCTTCCTGGAAGGTCTCAGATGTTGAGATGGGAATGTGTTTTTGTTCTCATGATTTGTTTTATGACTATTTTTCACCAGCGTGTGGTATGTTGAGTGTATACTGCATTGCATGTTATATGCTGAATAGTTTCAGAAATAAAGTAGAATGGCAGGAGAAAAACAAATACGTTTTTCCATGTTGGCAAACAGCTATTTCTTTGCTTCATTTTCCTGTCCATAACATGACAATGTTAATAATTTGCCTGCAGCTATGTCAGAATATATAATGTAATGATTTAAATTCATTTTCTATTTGTTCTATGGGCAGAAATGTCTGGAAGATCATCAGTTATTTGGACATTATACTATACTATTAAGTTTGTTTTATGTTTCCCCTTTTCTCTAGTATGTACCCAGTGCACTGTGCTGTCCCAGTAGAGCCAGCATCTTGACAGGAAAATACCCACATAATCACCATGTTGTAAATAACACTTTGGAGGGAAATTGCAGCAGCAAGTCTTGGCAGAAGATTCAGGAACCATATACCTTTCCAGCTATCCTCAAGTCTATGTGCGGCTATCAAACATTTTTTGCTGGGAAGTATTTGAATGAGGTATATTTATCATGCCTAAATTAACTGTTTTTTAAATATGCTTCTACATGTATTATAGCTTTCTTACAACACTCAAGGTGTAAGACTGGAATTTGTATGAAAGGAAGGTAGGATATGATAGTTGCTTCTAAAGAAACAGCTAATAAGCACAATAGCATTTAAGACTTAATTTTCAATGCTTAAACCTGTGGTTACCAACTCTGGAAACAATCCTGTGCATGCCATCAGATGGTTGCTTCACAAAACAGACTTCAGAACATGAATGTCCATAGCACTTTGATAACCACTACACTAGGAAAAGAAAATATTTTAATTTTTTTCTCCTTTATATTTCTATGCTTAAAATTGTTTATAGGATGCTTTCCTAGAACTCCTCCCATGGCATTAATTACATTGTCTAAATTTAATATGCTGTTCATTGACTTAAATATGAGAAATGCTATCACAATTTTGGATAGCCTAAGGGTGCCATCCAGTGTCATTGCCTGTAATCCTCTGAACTTGGAGACTTACAGGCATTCAATAGTCTGTAGGAGCATGGAGGCAAAGCATCGGCACTCATCTCACCTTCCAAAACACTTACATGGTATATTATACAAGCTTGTGAGAAAACAAGGCAGATGTACTACCTGGATATTTTGCTCTGCCCGCCCCAAAATTCTCTCCCAATGCTGACTTCCAACATGGGTCTTGCAATCTTGAATCTACAGCCATTGGAGGAAGAATTGTACAGGTTGCAAGGACAGAGGGAGGGTGCTTTGAATTTAGAGCCCTGAACTGCAACATTGAAGTACTTCTACGAGATTGCACCTGAGAACTCTGATTTATTCTGTGGTTGTCTAGACATCATTTAGCAGTCATAGGTTTCCACCTTAATTGGTTCAAATATATGGCCTGTAACAAGTTTAGCAAACAATATAATTTTATTGATGACTGCAAAATATAAAAAAACTTAAAGATATACACCTGGAGACTTTCCAATCTAGATCAATATACAAACCTTAGATTTATTTTTTATTGGCTTTAGAGGCTATAATAAAAAAATCACTAAGATCAACAGAAGTATCTTTATTATAATTAGCTACCGAACTAGTGTCAATAATTGTAACATTACTGTGTTTTCTGTTTGCTTTTGGATACAGTGGATGATAATTGAATCAGTGGAGTTTTCTTGAATAGTCCTTATTTTGAAGTCTGTTTTGTTGGTGCATGCACCTGAAACAATTTCAGTGTGTGGTGTGATCTGTGTGTGTGATTCTATAGAGGCAGTCCCCTGTCAGTAACAAGGGAAGTATGTAAATGTTACGAGAGAATACATCCTGTGGGAAATGGCTAACTCCTGTGTTCTGAGGGATGTACCATATTATCTATAGTGTGGAAGTTGTGTGTGAGACATAGGGTTTTCCAAGCAAATGGACAGTACTTTTAGCAGTCAGGCTTTGTGGTAGAACTTTGCTATCTAAAAGAAAGAGGCTCACAGTGATTGAAGATTGTGTGCTCAAGTATGTCTTGGTTGTTATGCACATGAAATAAATGAACTAATTGTGTGCTGTCTTACAACTGGAGAAAGTATTGTGCATATAACTGAAACCAAACACAAGCATGGTATCTTCTTGGATTCAGACTTGGTATGGTTTTCAAAGGAAAAATAACTTTGGGATCCTATATGTGCCTCCAGTCCAATGGCAGCTTATATGTTTGACTAAAGCTTTCTGATTGTAACTGTAGTGTTCATTTAATGTTGCCTTTTTTTAGTATGGAGCAGAAGATGCAGGGGGAATCAACCATGTTCCACCAGGATGGAGCTTTTGGTATGCCTTGGTGAGTGTCTATTCAATAATTATATTTTACATGCAATCTCTCAGTTTTATGGGATACTAAAAACTGGCTTACATCTCTTGCAATGATGCCAAACAGATCCAGACCTGCTATTTTGTAAATAACTGGATCAGGCAGAAGCTCATGGGTGGCAATTTTTGCTGTTTTCCTGTCCCCCACGGACTCCAGTATAACTTCACCAGGTGTTCCAGAAAGTCCCTTTCAGAGTAGGTATTTTGGAGCATAGCAACCTGTAGGAGAAATTGGCAAAAATTTGTTCCCCTTCTGCTCATGATATCTTGTTAAGCAGAGTTCAACTTTGCAACTTTGGATATGAAAGATATTTGAAGCATTATGATTTTTCTTCCTAAAAAGATGCAAATGTAGTATTTAGAGTATGGGTTTGATATTTTAACTAAAAAAGTAAGCAAGCTGAATATAGTTTATAGGAGAGGGCCGCAGTGTGGTGGTTAAGAGTAAGAGCTATAAGTCAGGTAACTCCAGTTCAAATGTCACCTTAGTACCATACTAGGTAACCCTAGTTTAAGGCTGGGTGACAAAGATAGACATGGCTGTGTCCCTGTCAAGGGCCCACTGAATTGCTCTTTGCCAATGCAACTTTGCATTGTTCACCTGCCCCTTCACCTGGCCCAGGCCATGGTAGTGATGAGAAAAGAGGAGCAGTGGATGCCATGGTGTATTTGTTTCCTGACCTTCAAGCAATGATAGGAGAAAAGACGAGGAGCAAGAACAGCTGGGGACAGTGGCTGTGCAAATGGCTGCTGCACCGAAACAGAGGGTCCATAGAGATTTTTCCTGAAGCGTGGAGGTAGCAGTTCATTATTCTGTTGTGATCTCTCCATTGCTACATTGGGACAATGACTTGGTTCAAGTGTTTGACGAAAAACAAAATCTTCTAAAATTTTAAATGTATTATTCCTAGATATTGAGGGTTAGTGATTTGGCTTAAAATTAGTATAACTCAAGGGAAATGCATGATGACAATAACTCAGTTGATGTTTTCCTCTTGGATGTGAAGTAGCCTTGTTTTTCTTCCACAGGAAAAAAATTCCAAATATTATAATTACACACTTTCAATAAATGGAAAAGCAAGGAGGCATGGTGAGAACTACAGTGTGGATTATCTGACAGATGTACTGGTAAGAATTTCTCAGCTGGTGTTTAGCCAAGAGCCTTGTAAATTTCTAAAAATGTATTATGTCATAAGCTTTTGTGTTTTGCATTTCACTTCATCAAAATATAGATTATAAATGCTGATGCCATAAACAGTAGTTAACCTTTTAAGTTGTCAGATGTTTTTGCTGCAACAGACTAGCGTGTCACCTGTCTGCAATGGCATAATGCCGAAATCGTTTAATTTCAGTGCAGCCAATGAGGTAAGGTCCTGAGTGTAAATAAAACACAATTTGTCTTGCTGTACTTCATTCATAGTACTCTTCAAGTAAAGCACAGTACATGTCTAGATCTCTTCTCCCTTCCTTGCCTCCAGTGCTATTCATCTAGTACAGACTCTTAATTTTGTATGCTACAGTTCAGACATCATGTCAGACCATGGTAATGGTGGCTGAATAGATAACTTTTCAGTATGACTTATTTCCACACCTTTGCAGAGCATCTCTAAATCATGGTTTAATTATGTGTCTGGAACCTCAAATCATGATTTAGATTCTGAACTATGTTCATTGTGGAAACTGCTTTAGAGTGATGTTCAAAGTGAGCAATACTGAGAGAACTGGGTGTGTTTAGCCTTGAGAGGAGAAGACTGAGAAGGGACATGGTATCACTCGAAAGTACCTCAAAGGCTGACACAAAGAGGAAGGTCAAGATCTCTTCTTGCTGATACCAGAGTGTAGGACATGGAATATTAGATTCAAGCTGTGACAACCCAGATTCAGGCTGGACATCAGGAAAAGCTTCCTAACTGTCAGAGCAATGCAACAGTGGAACCAGCTGCTTAGAGAGGTGGTGGGCTCTCCCCCACTAGAGCCATTCAAAAAGAAACAGCCATCTGAGTGTGATCATATAAATTGGTGTCCTGCAGCAGCAGGGGGTTGGACCCAGTGGCCTTCATGGCCTCTTCCAACTCTACTATTTTATGATTCAATAAGATAACATGCAAAAAAGATACTGGTAAGCAGAGCACCAATTTCTGCTTACAGAAAAATGAATTTTAACACATAAAATATTGTTCCTTTGAAAAGAGGAAGGTTGGTGCTTTGTTGCAGTAATATTTTACACACAAGTAACTTTTTGCAAACTAATTTTATTTATTTTCTCTGATACTCTGTCCAGATAGAGAAATTAAAACAGTGAAACAAAAGTGGGTTATAAATAACATACAGTGGTAAAATGAGTATGAGAAGTAGTAGTAATCTCTCTACCTTAAATGAACAAGCATGTAAAACTGAAATTTTATTATCTTCAATAGTTGTAATATTACAGTTCGTGCCATAAAATATTGGCAATCCATTGTTGAATATTGACCCCTTGCAGTGAAACACCTTAAATATAAGTGTTAGAAGTAGCATGGCTGGATTCTCTGAACTTACTTTGAGAATACAACAAATATTTCCTAATCCCACAGAGTATTGACTTAATGAAAAATGTAAAAGAAAGGAACACTTCATGAGGCACTTGAGGTGTTAATTCGAATTGGTGGTGTGAAAAAAGCAACCCATGCTTTTTTTCCTAGACATGTAGCTTTGACTTCCTGGACTGTTTGTTAGCATATAGCAGCAGTGGCCAAATAGTGGCTTTTGAGCTTGCATGCAGCTCTTTGAGTTTATTTTGCAGCCTGCTGCCACCGCCCGTGGACCTCCACTTGCCACCCGAGGCCTGCCGTCACCACCACCTGCAGGCACCCACTTACAGCTCTAAAGCATCTGACATTTATTTTATGCGGCTCTTTCATTGAGCAAGTCTGGCCACCCTGGCGTATAACAACTATTTATAGCTTTAATTTTTTGTTTTTCCAGGCCAACATGTCCTTGGATTTTCTGGAATATAAATCTAACTTTGAGCCATTCTTTATGATGATAGCAACTCCAGCACCACATTCACCTTGGGTAGCTGCACCTCAGTACAAGAATAGCTTCCAAAATGTCAGTGCTCCAAGAAACAGTAATTTCAATATCCACGGAAAGGTATGGGATCTTGATCTGTAATATGTTGTTGATGACTGGATATAATTGATGAGTCTGATTCTGCACTCCTATTTTACACTCCTGAAAAACTGATCAGTTTGGTTAAACTCAAGGTGTAAAATGACTGGGTGGCAAGATGTAGGTTTATAGTGGGAATTTGCTTTCTTGGGAATTTCATCAAATTTGGCATAGCCAAATTGGCATTTCTAACAGTACTTTCTACAGGGTTGCGTATTTTTGAACACCAAGCCACCATGACAGGCCATGGCTTGTTCTGTGTTTGTTTTTTTGCACCATGATGGGTAGCCTTGTTTGGTTCTAGTAGATCATTTTCATTGTGGGGATCGGCTAGAAAACCAGTTGGCAATAGCAGCAAAATCCCTGCCACTCTTCATGATCTTGCCCGTGCTGCCACCAGTGGATAGGGCCTCCACTGAAGGCCAAGTGAGCAACTGTCACTGGTTCACCATTCTTTTTTTGGCCCCAAGGAATTAGGCAAGTGTGTTAGTAACTTGTTGTAGGTAGTGGTGATTTGCGGGTACGTAGGAGCTCTCCTTACTGCTTTCAAAAGTTTACAAGACTGCACTTGCCTAGTTTGGCCAAATTACTTGTCTCAGCCATCATAGGGAGTGGCAAAGTAGAAGTACGTAATAGGTGGACATGGCAAAGCTGTAGATGGAGTAACTTGCATGCAGCTGTCCATCTGTCAGTTGCCTGTCAGTTGAAAAGATACTAGTAATTGGAAAAAGAAAGAGGGACAATATCACCCCCTTAGAATTTTTCTTGAATGTAAGTGTTCTCAGTGTCTTCCAGGTTTTCAACACTGCCCAGAATCTCTGGCCACTCCAGAAAGGGGAGGTACTAGAACTCTTTCATAGTTTTGTTTGCGCAATTACTTCTGTGGTTAATGTGCTTCCTTGAATATGCTCTGAAGGGAAGCCCTGAGAAGTTAGCTGCATGGATCCCCATTGCAGGGGATATGTGTAATCACAGCAAGTTGGCATCTCCCTCACACCATCCCATATTACCTCTTTGTAAAGATGCTGATTTTTTTCCCAACAATATCTGCCCTTTTATTTTAGACTGGGAAATATATGGAACTTTAATGGCTGGGAAATACAGTATATCTCAGAAGTGAGTACACCACTCACATTTTGTAAATATTTCATTATATCTTTTCTGAAGATATTATACTTTGCTACAATGTAAAGTAGTGAGTATACAGCTTGCATAACAGTGTAAATTCGCTGTCCCCTCAAAATCACTCAACACACAGCCATTAATGTCTAAACTACTGGCAACAAAAGAAAGTATACCCCTAAGTGAAACTGTCCAAATTGGGCCCAAAGTGTCAATATTTTGTGTGGCCACCATTATTTTCCAGCACTGCTTTAACCCTCTTGGGCATGGAGTTCACCAGAGCTTCACAAGTTGCCAGTGGAGTCCTCTTCCACTCCTCCATGACGACATCACGGAGCTGGTGGATGTTAGAGACCTTGCGCTCCTCCACCTTCTGTTTCAGGATGCCGCACAGATGCTCTATAGAGTTTAGGTCTGGAGACATGCTTGGCCAGTCCATCACCTTTACCCTCAGCTGCTTTAGCAAGGCAGTGGTCGTCTTGGAGGTGTGTTTGGGTCGTTATGTTGGAATACTGCCCTGCGGCCCAGTCTCCGAAGGGAGGGGATCATGCTCTGTTTCAGTATGTCACAGTACATGTTGGCATTCATGGTTCCCTCAATTAACTGTAGCCTCCCAGTGCCAGCAGCACTCATGCAGCCCCAGACCATGACACTCCCACCACCATGTTTGACTGTAGGCAAGACACACTTGTCTTTGTACTCCTCACCTGGTTGTCGCCACACACGCTTGATACCATCTGAACCAAATAAGTTTATCTTGGTCTCATCAGACCACAGGACATGGTTCCACTAATCCATGTCCTTAGTCTGCTTATCTTCAGCAAACTGTTTGCGGGCTTTCTTGTGCATCATCTTTAGAAGAGGCTTCCTTCTGGGACGACAGCCCTGCAGACCAATTTGATGCAGTGTGCGGCGTATGGTCTGAGCACTGACAGGCTGACCCACCACCCCTTCAACCTCTGCAGCAATGCTGGCAGCACTCGTACGTCTATTTCCCAAAGCCAACCTCTGGATATGATGCTGAGCACGTGCACTCAACTTCTTTGGTCAACCTGTTATGAGTGGAACCTGTCCTGTTAAACCGCTGTATGGTCTTGACCACCGTGCTGCAGCTCAGTTTCAGGGTCTTGGCAATCTTCTTACAGCCTAGGCCATATCTTTATGTAGAGCAACAATTCTTTTTTTCAGATCCTCAGTTCTTTGCCATGAGGTGCCATGTTGAACTTCCAGTGACCAGTATGAGTGAGAGCGATAACACCAAATTTAACACACCTGCTCCCCATTCACACCCAAGACCTTGTAACACTAACGAGTCACATGACACTGGGGAGGGAAAATGGCTAATAATGCCCAGTTTGGACAGTTTCACTTAGGGGTGTACTCACTTTTGTTGCCAGCGGTTTAAACATTAATGGCAGTGTGTTGAGTGATTTTGAGGGGACAGCAAATTTACACTGTTATACAAGCTGTATACTCACTACTTTACATTGTAGGAAAGTGTCATTTCTTCAGGGTTGTCACATGAAAAGATATAATAAAATGTTTACAAAATGTGAGGGGTGTACTCCTGTGATATACTGTATATGATGGGAAACTTTCACACCTGCAGTAATTGCTCAGCCTTTTAATTTGTGCAAATTTTACTGTATTTTAAACATTTCTATACTGTGCCTATAGCCAGTTAGCTCTCTGAAAGTTTATAAACGTTTTGCCTCCATTTAATTCCTGTAAAGTTGTATTTCTTTCTGTAGCTTTTAAAGAACTGTTAGGAAAACACAATTACCAGAACAAAAAATGACCCCAATTGTGCATTTGAATCTATGGAGGGGAAGGTAGTAAATAAAAAAAGGTAGCAATTGAAATGGGGAGGAGAGAGTAGATGGGCTCTGCTGTAACGTTCACTACGGTAAAGACTGAATGGGAAGAAAACGGAACAGTGAGTCTAGTTGTCTGTCAGGCCCATCGTGGATTGTTTTGTGATCAACCCAGACTATATGGTTTATTCACTAGTGACATGCTGATGTGGGCAATGTGGTTTTTTTGTTTTATCTGTTCCTTTGTCCCTTTATATATGCAGCCCTTCCATTTCACCTACACATGTGCTTTGTCCTCTTGTGGTTAGCTCTCTGTTCTTTGCAAATAATCAAATTATTCTTTGCACAAGTTTTAGTGGGATAATACAAAGAATCGCTTTCTCTAGCTTTTTGACTCAAGATGGCATACCCTGTACCTAAGCCATCTTTTATTCTCATCTCTAATCTATAATGCAAAGTATGTAAGAGTAACTGCCAAATCTAATTAAGGCTTCTGCTAACCAGTAGTTAAATTATTTGAATCTGTTTGATTCTAAGGCTACAATCCTGTACCCTGGCAATGTTCAACTTTTGGGCCCCCAGATGTATTGGGCACAACTTGCATCATCCCAGGCCAGCATAGCCAATGGCAGAATGATGGGAGTTGTGGCCCTTGGGATGTTTTAACATACAAGCTGCCCACTGCCTCTATACATGCTTGGGAGTAACTCCAACTGAATTTATTGCACTTCTGAGTAACCATACATAGGACTGCAGTGTAAATAAATCCAATTAACTAGAAATACAGAATTTGAAGATATTGTGCCTATAGCCTGAAGATTCCTAAGTAATGACCTTCAATATTTAGTAATAACATTGACACTCAATTGCCTTGGAAATTTTTGTCCTTCAGTTGCTGCTGTTGAATATGAGCCTATCTTAAATGCTGAGCTATGTTCTAGTCCGCAGTAACATTCAGATTCTGTTAGATAAACAGTAACGCACATTTCTTCAAAAACAGTAATTCCAGTTGTTCAAGATTAGATTGGTGCAGTTCATACTGATTCTGGATGAAAGTGAAGGCCATTAAGCTGTCACCCTTCTCTGATGATAATTACGCTTCAGTGGTGCTTAGTATATACTATTCTGCTCCTGTTAAAAAAGTTGACTGCAAACTCCATAATCACAAAAGCCCCATTTTACCAAAAGCTAACGAGAATAAAACAGTCTGACAAGGCTGTTAGTTGAATCTTAGTTTGTTTGCTTTTTATGAAATAAATCTAAAATAACTCTAATATATTTTTTACAGGACAAGCATTGGCTTATCAGGCAGGCGAAGACTCCAATGACTAATTCCTCAATACAATTTCTAGATGATGCTTTTAGGAAAAGGTAGGAAATTCATGGCTTGAATAAAATACTTTGCAAAACGGAGTGTTATTTCAAATCAGATTACTAGCAACAACATTGCTATCAGATCACTAGGGTCAGAGAAATGATCAAACAGGTTTACTGAGGTGGGATTCATACAGTGGGATGAGGGAAGATAGGGCTGTAAAACACAAATATCATGTCTACTCTGAGAAGTTAAGTGGATACCACCACCTTTTCATATACATATGCTATGAAATTTATAGTACTTAAACAATCTTGATCACTTGTAGATGGCAAACACTTCTGTCAGTGGATGATCTGATAGAAAAACTTGTGAAGAGGCTGGAATTTCATGGAGAGCTTGATGATACATACATTTTTTACACATCAGATAATGGCTTTCATACAGGTAAATGTTATTGTATAGTTTTTTCTTATATACTTAGAATTCACATAGTATTTCTGTGCTGGCATTTAGAACCACTTAGGGTTTTTTAAGATACTTTTTGGACAGATGGCAGTAGTGAGAAATTTGTGAACCTAGAAATCACTGGCATAAAAATCTGTGGCTGTATATAATCTCTTTGACGTTTCTTCCAATTCCTTGAACCGAGAGCCAGTGTGATGTAGTGGTTGAGTGCAGGACTGGGACTCAAGCAGTCTGTTCTAGTCCCTATGGAACAGACTGGGTGACTTTGGGCAAATCACAGACTCTCAGCCCAGCTTACTTCCTAGGGTGGTTGTTGTGGGGATAAGACAGGGAGCAGCAGCAGGAGAATGATGTAAGCTGCTCTGAGTTCTTTGTAAGAATAAGGCAGGATGATAAATAATCTGATAAATAAACTTTTAGTTAACATGGGAAACTAGGCTTCAAACCAGTGCATACAGATTTAAATTAAAGACTAACTGGAGAGAGAACTTGCGAACAAACTTTAAGAGGATGAAAAGCATATGGTGCAAAATTCAACTACAAATGATGAATGTCAGTATTTCTGTTCTGTTTAGGTCAATTTTCTTTGCCAATTGACAAGCGGCAACTATATGAATTTGACATTAAAGTTCCATTGCTGGTTAGAGGGCCAGGAATCAAACCAAACCAGACTAACAAGGTACAGTTGCATTTGAGAACATTGCATTACATACTACAATATGGTTTCAGAGCAGGACATCAACAGTATGAACTGGAGGAGTCAACAATGAGTAAAATGTAGTGAAATACAAGTCCTGTGAATAGAAACATGCAGGCAGGATTGAATAGTGAGGCCCTGGAGCTGCCTAGAATGGAATGAAAAGCATTTGTTGGGCATACATGCTAAATAGTACTCCTTTCTGTATCTGTCTTGCAAGTGTACAGAAGCTGTTAACCTGCATAGAAATTTGTTCATATACTTTATTCATTTAAGAATATCAAAGTTATTATAAAGCTTATTTTCTTCTTAAGCTTTGTGTGACTAACAATTGCTATAAAGCAGTTGTTAGTCTCACAGATGTGTACATGAATTTCATTTGTTTGTCAGCCTTCTCTGAATGTTGTGACTTGAAAGGGATACAAATAGATTCCTTTTGCAGTGAGTTCTAATGTTTTCATTTACTAGAAGTCATGGACTGGGAATGGTATTACTCTTGCATTGTTATATTCCCAATGGTGTTCTCTTTGGCTTGTGCTTTATTTGTTAATAAAGTGTAGTGGGACTGGTATCTCAACAGTGGATAAAATGGCTAGAATAATTTGTCAGCAGAGTAGATAACAGTTCAATAAAAAGAACATGAGAACAGGACGGGGTACTGGAGTGTGAACACTTTTCCTTTAATATTAGGTAATTGACAAATTACAGGGCTGTGAATTTGACATTAAAGTTCCATTACTGGCCCTGTTCAGAAATTTTGTAAATTGCCTAGAAACCTTGGATTTTAGAGCAATATAGAAACTAAACATTTTTGATGACCCAATCTTGGCATTTTCCCTTCTCCTTCCCTTTGTTTCTTTTTATACACAATAAAATTGAATATAAAGGTTTAGAATTGAAGCTCATCATACTTGTGTGCAAAGCTAGAGAAGAGAAGAAGAAATAAGTTAGATTGCACAACACAGATAATATAGTCTCTAAAGTAAAATTGGTGGGTGGTGGTTCTGTCTAGATAGAAGGTGTTAAACCTGTTGTATAGGGGCAACATTTGCCTTGAAAGGACAGGTTAGTAGTCTTGGGATGTTCTTGATACATCCTTGTCATTTGGGGCCCACGTGGTCTCAGTGGTATGGACTGCCTTCAGCCAACTTCAGCTGGTGGCCCAGTCGCATTCCTGTCTGGACAGGGACAGCCTGCCTTCGGTAATCTACATTCTGGTAGTCTCAAATTAGTTTCAAACAATGATTCTCATTCTGGTGCACTTGCATTAGCTACCTGTATGCTTCAGAGCTTGATTTAGGTGCTGATCTTAACCTGTAAAGCTCTATAGATTGGGGCCACAGAATGTCTTTTTTGACCTCAAAGCTGCCTGGACCCCACACTTAATATCTGAGGCCTTCCTCTGAAAGCCATTTCTAAATGAGGCTTGGCTGGTGACAATAAGGAGAGCCTTCTCTGTAGTAACCCCAAAATTATGGAATAATATCACAGCTATATCTACCCATCACCAACTTTTACAGTGGTCTCTGCACCAGGTTCAAACAGCCCTCTTTGCCAAGCCATTTTTCAACACTCAGTATTATATGGGGTTGGTGGAGTAATGTCAGTTGTTTGGAGAAGGTCTGGCCGTGTGAACTGAGCTCAGGTGTTATATTGTTAAAAAATCTGGTTTTAATTTTGTTATGCATTGTGGTGATTATATTTTATTTTGTATTACTCTATTTACTGTTGTATGCCATCCAGAGAACTTCAGCTGCTGGATTGCATAGAAATACAATTATTTCGTATTAATTTTGAACGTATAATTAAAATTGAGTATTCATACTTCTTAAAAAAATATGTCAATTTAATACCCAAAGGCAGAGATTTTGAATTACCAGTCTCTGCTTCAAACAGGAAGTGTCCATCTGAGGTGACACTTTAGCCAGAGAGAATGTAAACAAGTATGTGGTATGAGACCGTGTCAAGTGTATTTTTTTTTTTTTAAATTTTAACTGTATCCCAGAGGTAGCGTGTGTTCTTGGCTCTTCAGAATATAATGGAATTCCTCATATAGATACACAGAAACCCTTATATGAAGTCCTCATAGATATATGAAAAGCATTGATAGCTGGGATATTTATAGAATTTACACATTTTGGCTTAATTTTAATCTTAACTGGACAGTCAGTAATGCCTTTTATATTTCCTGCCTTCTAGATGCTTGTGGCAAACATCGATTTGGGTCCTACTATTTTAGATATTGCAGGCTATGATCTGAACAAAACACAAATGGATGGGATGTCATTACTACCACTGCTGGTAAGAACATAGGATTATTAGGGATTCTGGCACCTAAGAATTGCTCTTCAGTGCGAATTATGGCAATCTGTTGTCTAATTCTCTTCTTGTTCATCTTTTTGCCTAGCCCTTAGAGTTAGTATTGGTAGGAATGGCTGCCAAGTGATAAAACATTTTCAGGGTCACTCTCTGGTTATAAGAAGTACAGTAACAGATCATGTGGAAGACCTTTTAACATAAACCTTAGAAATGCTTTTAATCAGTAAGACACAAGCCAAAATGGACAAACTAGTATTTGTCTGAGCTAGTATTAGGCAGCTTCATGTATACATTTCTTGAACAGAAGATAATTTCAAGTGAGTATATTACTAAGAATCTTGAGTATCAAAATAGCTTTTTTTGGGCGGGGAAGGAAAATTAAGAAAAATGCTTCAGGTCAAATTCCAGGTGAATTTGGAAGAAACCCAAAATGCTTGGTACATGTCTTGGCATAACATTTTTGAGCATAATAGAACTACTGTACTTCCAGCACATTTGAACAATGCTCATTGTGACTCTAGTAGAGAGTACCCAGTACACTTCAGGGACTATTGAGCAACATGACGCCTCATCTTAAATTAAAATGTTTCCTGGCAGCTCGGTTCACAATAACAGATATGGGAAATGTTGCCAGCACATTGTCATAAGCTAATGTAATGACTAACATTTCTTCATGTGTACCTTTTTTCCGCTACAGTTCAAGTTTAACCTCTACAATTTTTATCTTAAGAAGCTTACATTCCATTTAATTTATCAACTCTCTTTTTTAATGCTTGCTGCTTTTTAGAGAGGAGACATAAACGTGACCTGGAGATCAGATGTGTTGGTTGAATATCAGGGAGAAGGACACAACAGTAGTGACCCTACCTGTCCTGCCCTTGGGCCTGGTGTCACGGTACGTAGTCTTGAGAAAAAAACCTTTGTTTTTAGAATCGCACTAACCTTAAGATTGTAGGCAAATGTGGCACGTACAGAGGCTTGAGATGAAAAGATCAGGAGCTCAGCCTTGGACATTGGTTAAGGCAAAAGGTAAGAGGCATAGAAGTAAACTTGGAAATTGTGTGTTGGGATAAAGATGCATTGCTATTCTCTAAGTCAGTGGTTCTCAAGTTTTTCTATGCCCCACAACCCTAGAAAATGTTTGATTTATATTCTCGCCTTCCACGAAAGTTATACCACATTTGAAGAGGAAGAAGTCATATTTCAAAATTTTAAACCACAAAAATTGGACCACACTGCTACACGTAAACCAATTGAACTAAAAAAAAGCTTTTAACTCAGTACATTCAATTCAAATATAAATTGAGCAATTAGAAAACATTGTAAAAAGTAGAATCAATTGCAATTGTGAGCATAAAATTCAGTGACTACTTTGTTCCTGCTTGTCATTCACAGTTTTGTCAAAATGTGGAACTTTATTGCTGATTGCAATCTACAAGTCTGCCTCTGGATTCAGGCAATTCATAGATTTTGTCTTGATTGCATTTGGATTCAGTTCTCTTTTGTCAAACTACTAATATGATTGGGATAATTTTTGATTAAATAGGAAACCTGTGTTGCAATTTTCCACTTTGTTGAACCCCCTGAAGTGCAGTCTCACACCCCCTGAGCTGTGGGCGCACCAGGTTGGGAACCCTTGCTTTAAATGTTCTATATTGCTTGAGTGGTGAACAAAATAATTGTAACACTAGCCTATTTCTTTAAAGCATTGTTTTCCAGATTGTGTTTGTGAGGATGCATATAACAACACATATGCATGTGTAAGAACAATGTCTACTTCATGGGATCTACAGTACTGTGAATTTGATGATCGTGAGGTAATTATTTTGTACATCTTTGACATATTTAGAACTGTAAAACACAATAACTTGATTTAATGCAAATTAAATGCAAGTTAAATATTCGTTCTGGTATTTTCAAAATTATTCCTAGAACTTGGTTCTTCTCAAGTTAAATTCATTCGTGTCACCTAATTTCCATTGTGATGGGTCGGGCAAAACTTTGTGACTAAACAACAAATCTTCACCTGAGCACAAAGCTAGCTCAAACAGCTGTCAAGGTGTACTATCTTGATGTCTGTCAAAGTGTACTATCTTTCACACCTGTTTTTTTTTAAGTCAGTTCTTTACTGGCAGCTGGGTTTGCTTCAAAGCAAAATGAGCTTTAGTTGCTCCAGTCTTTATAAAAAGATGATGACAGATGGTTGCAGGCTCATGCTTTCATAGTGTACCCATTTTGTGATGGTGTATAGGGTGTTCTTGAGGCCAAAGGTACCTCAGAGTCCAGAAAAGTTTGCCTACCTATGGGCCCCAAGGCGTTTCTGACAAGAAATAAAAGTCATTTCCACAGACCTTTATTGGTAAAATGTAATGTGTATAACATTGCTGACCTAATACTACTAATTTTCTCAGACAACTCAGCATTTTTTACCTCAAGTGTCTGTAAAATGTGGCTTTCTTTCACAAGTAGAATCTTGCACCACAAAGGTGCAAAGGAGGCTGTATGAGGAGAAAGGAGATAAGCTGTCTTCCAATGATCTCATAGCAAGTATTTCTCTATTTCCTCATGTCATTTTCCAAGCTGCAAGTTAGAACACTTTTTCTATTAAGAACCTTCCTGTTCCTAACAGTCACTTGCATTTATTTGACTTGATTGCACTTTCATGTTTCAGTTTATATTTCTAATTGTGTTTTCAGTATTTCATTATGGTAATAGATTTTTAGGCACCTTTTGTGTAGAGCAGCCAAAATCCAGAAAACAGGATCATGGTTAGAAATAGATAGTTGGAAGGTTATAATTTCAGGGTAAATGGGGCTCTCCATTGCTTTCTTCCCCTCTTCAGATTCTAAATCTTTTCTAGAGGGACCCCCAGCTTTTCAGAACACATCTAGGTGAAGGGGTACATGAGAGGCCAGGAGTTGCAGATCTATTCTGCCAAGTTTATATTTTGCTGGTGGATGGCCAGTGTTGGATAACAGCCTTAGAACCACTCCTCCTTAGCAAGATTAGCAATGAGTATTTGTTGGGTGGCTGCTCTGTCTGGCTTTAAAGAACCAGAGTTAAGGCTAAAGAGGAAAATGAGCACTGCGTGTACAGCCTAGACACACAGCTTTTGGTTATATATCCAGCTTTATCTCACTGCCAGGGGACAGGAAGCCAACAAACAAGGTCATTGGCAAAGGAAATACTAATATAAGGTTAGAACCCAAATGAAAAACGGAGATCTTGCCCTGTTACGTGCAGCTTAAGTATTAGTACTGAATGATGAACTGATATTTGTAACTTTGTAAATTTGAATAATATGAATGAACTAGAGTGTGCGGTTATATGAAGAGATGCAGGTAAATTGGCTTTAAGAGGATTTCACTGACTTGCATCTCCTTTTAGAAGCATAACTAAAATCTCATTACTAAGATATTAGCTTCATGAACACCTGACCGTTTCTTCCAGCTCTTACAAGGCTGATCCACTCTCCATATGGTGAAATGACGAATTGAAAGGATACTGGTTACTTCTTTGTTCCTGTTCTATCACAATAGCTAAGCTAGAGTCATAGCACTGGATCCAAATTTAAGTGCTAATAGAAATGGGCTTCTTTGTACCCTTTTCTCCATAGCAGCTCCTCCAGTTCTCTGAAAATGCTGAATAGTGTAGTATGTGGTGTGGGTGGCTGAGGGAAAAGGCCGGATCCCTGAAAATCAGGCAGAGGCACTTTCTGAGAGCAGACCTCTCTGGTCATGGAAGATTTGTTTTGGATCCCCTTGCACCACAGCAAACCTCCTGACCTCTCTTACTGCATGTATAGGTGACTGAAAGAGGGTGTAGGAAAATCCGTTGCTGCCAGCCCAGTCTGAATTGAACATGAGCCCCCAGTATCGCAAGATTACTGAAAAACCTGACTTAAGACCTTTCTGAACTACTGCAGTTTTCTCTGCTGAACAAATTTCACTGTATTTCAGAAAAAGCCTTACTTCATGCAGTGTGCTCATCACCAGTCTAGTGAATGGTTAGGGAGGGTGTGATTCTGCAGCATTCTTCCAATGAAACAGGTTAAGCTGAGTTTTCTGAAGGAAGGTCAGAATGTACAAAATACAGAAAACTTGGTCCATACTGATGTATTTATGTAAATCTTCTCCATATGATAGATATTTGTATATATTATCTGTAATTGGCTTCACTAACTTAGCACAAACATGTTGCAGTTCTGCAAGATTTTCTTACACGATGCTTTGCCTGGATTCTGTCAATAACATTGCAGTGTATAATGGTGCTGCTTTTGCTTTTTGTGAAGGTGTTTGTCGAAGTTTACAATCTGACTGCAGATCCGCACCAGATCACCAATATTGCAAAAACAATTGATCAAGAAATCTTAGAAAAGATGAACTATCGACTAATGATGTTGCAGTCCTGTTCTGGAGCAACTTGCCGCTCACCAGGAGTTTTTGACCCAGGGTAAGCATGCTCTGTTCTATTTCATAGCTGTTTTTGAACAATCTAAGCATATAGACTTTCCAGCTATAAAACATGTTGAAAATCAAAAGTAAAATCATCTAATGAATTTGAGGCTTGGCTACAAGGATAAGTTAAATGAAGTTCACTGAAGGGAAAGGCTGTTATCCCCCTTCCACTCAGCAGCTCCATGCTACCCCATCCCATGTTGTTTAAGCAGAACCCCACAAAAGAGGCTTTTTAAAGAGCTATAAGTGGTAGCAGAGAAGGCGATGTGAACTTTGCTTTCCATGAACCTCCTCATCTTTGGATGCAAGCAGTAAAGCTTTATTGAAGGGTCAGTAATCCTTGTAATATTTATTTGAAGGCTAAACTTAAAACATCTAAATACGTAATTGCTTATCATGAAAACCTTGCACAGAAGCCAGCTAATACTGTTTATGAACATTCTGAACCTAGAATGTAATTGTTGTGTTTGGAAGCATTCCAAGAAGCACAGTATTTTTAAAGCCATCATTGATTGTAATGGGTTTTGCATTTCTTGAATAAAAGTGGCACTGCAGTGATACTGTAGTGGTTTCTTTATAGAAAGAACACACTATTGTTACCTGGATTCAGAAATATTTGATGCTCATTCTTTAAAAGACGCTTACTTAATGCCTTTTCTCATCTTCTCTCCACCCTTCCATTTCTGTAGATACAAGTTTAATCCTCGTCTGATGTTCAGCAACCATGGAACTCAGACACGCAGACTTTTTACACGTTCATTGTAGCTGGTAACCTGTTGTGTTACCTTTGTTCATTTCTTCAAAAATGACTGCAGAAGACCTGCCTGGTTCACTCCGTATCTGAAAGACTGGATCAGCTGGCTTTATAGAGAGAAAATTACCTCCCCAGCTTGGTTGCCTTGTGCAATATATGTGAACTACATGCATTATCATCATGGTTTGTTCAAATCTAATTACTGCATTAGTCTGAAAAAAAATTAACCCCAACATGAATCCAAAATTCCTTGCTTGGTGTATGTGAAAGACTGAAGCTTAGCTATTTAAAAGCTTACTACATGGAGATGCAGGCCTGAGGTAGATTGGACAGGATTATGTTGGACCTACTAGGTAGGTAGAGGCTATGGACTGCCTCCCTTAATTACAGTCACCACTGGATAAGCTTTTAAGAGGAAGCACTGAGCTTCTTGGTTGTGTTCATATACTGGATCTTGTCTAATTAAGTTAACTGGGGAGGTTACCATACTTGTCAAGGCTCAGCTGTCTGCCTGTTACTCTTACATGTTAGATATATTCAGCTGTGAAACTTTCATATCAGTATAACTAAACCACTAAATGAGCACTTTTCCCAAAGATCAATGGCACATTAGCACCCATCACATTTCTACTTCATACAGGAATAGATGACTTAGGGATAACCGCTTAATTGGGAAACTTACATTCTCAGAAGGAAACTAAAATCCTAATGTACCAGAAAAGTGGGTTCCAACACTGCTTCTCAGAAAGTGGCTTTGGATTCAAAAGTTAATTCTAATCCTACTATACTAGCCCTTATGCCAGAGAATTGTACAACTTGATGCTTAGATGAGAAGTAATTTCTCCCTATTCTTGATTATTACATGCCTGTTTGTGAACTATGTATTAGTCCTTGTTGAGCATTTAGAAGTAATCAGTATTTTAAAATTTGCTACTTTTGTTTAATATAAAGAAGTCGATCATTTACTGCCTGCTAGAAATTTGCTTGAAAACCAGACCATTCATTTTCTGAAATGAGGACATCTGTTTGACATTTGTACCATTCAATCAGTTGTAGCTTTTACAGGTGGAAAGTTGTTTATTGGGTATACACAGGCTGGCTTGCTATTTAAAAGCTATGTTCTTAAACAGCTGGACACCCCAGAATGCATCTGTAACTCCGCTTTGTTGGTCATAACTACTTAAGTTAAAAGCAATACCTGCAAAGTTACTTTTGTACAACTCAACACATGTTTATGCCAGGTGATCTAGAAAAGGAATGCTAAGTGGCATGGAGTGGCAAACAGTGGGCTTGAGGAATGGTGTGAGAACGAGGCTTATGCTTCATTTGGTGGGAAAGAGTTAGCAAGTAGCTTCCTCTGGACTTGTGTTTTTCACATCTGTTAAATGTTCAGGTGCATATGACAGACCTCAGTTTAAAAATGCCACCTCAGAATGAATATGAATACACAGTGAAAGGTGCCCCCTGTCAAAGCCACCTTGTGGCCTTTTTTACGTGAGCTTATGAGATCCAGAGATTCTGATGCAGAGGCACTTTGTGATAAACTATTTCTTCATTCCTAATCTTTCATGCATAATGTTGAGGTGGAGTAGTGCCATGAGAAAACTGTGCCACCAGGAATGTTCAAATGAACTCTCAGGACTGCTCCTCGGAAAAATCATACCTAGACCAAGATACACAAATACAAATGAAGGAACATTGTTGAATCTGCTATGAAGAGTTGCACATGTGTTTCCATGGCAGCTGTTCCATTCAAAATACTTGCAAGCAAATCTTGCCTCTGGTTATCTTGGAATGTTTATGTCCCCTTCACATGAGATGCAATTATCTTTTTGTACTTACAGTTGTCTAAAGTCTCAATTGAGAAAATGTATTTGTAAACATATTTGCTATTGCAGAATTCCTATGGTGAAAACACAGCTTCAGAATTGGCGTTCCACAGAAGGCATGAAAGATTGAAAGGGAAAATCAAATCCTAAATGTCTCTCAGGAGGAAAAAAAATCCCTACTGGGTTAGGAACTAGTGTTATTATGGAAGCCTGCTCATAAATTTCAGTAGTTTTCTTTACTCTGTTCAGGGAGATAATTTCTGTGGGTAGATGTGTAAATGAGGGCCAATCTAAATGTTCCTTTAAGCATACATAGTGGAGCAAACTCAAGTTTGTAAGACAGAAGATTATTTTTGAAACATCTTGTTTTGCTTTTCTACTACACTCTTTAATGACTTTACCTTAAAAACCAACACACTATCTCACTGTTTTAACTGTGCTAAGTTTTAACTAACCTATCCACTTCTGCATGAAAAAAAAATTTCCTGTCAATTTAGCACCTAAGGTTGTATTCCTATGCCCACCCAACATGAGCTGCGATTCTGAAAGCCGGTGTAGAAAAAACCTACTGGATGGATGCCATCTCTGACATTGCAAATGCACCTCTAAAGGGCAGAGACTGGGACCAAGGGCTTCTCCCAGTTCCAGCTGGTGTGCTAGCCTCTTTCTCTGCCCAGCTGAAAATGGCTGTTGAGATAAAAACCGGGCTGCTAGGTGCTGTGGTGGCAGTCATCAATGCTGTGCCTTGTTTGTGGCATAGGATTTGCATGAGCCTCTGAGTGTAGAGGTTTGCCTGCAACAAGGGTGCAAGGGTTGGATTGTGCCTTGATGCTTTTTAAGAACTGAGGTTGTTTCCAAAGAAATAGCACGAGGAAAAACACAGACTTTGAAGAAGATGGCAGACCACTGGAAACCCACTTCTATTACATCCTTGTTGCTAAATATTTACTATGCAGCAAGCTCTGACAGGTCATTTTGCAAAGATGACAGTTACAAGGTCATATCCTATATGTTCCACTAGATAAGAAGTTTGATTTTGGTGGCCATCTGCTTGCACTTTACAATAAAGTTGCTATTCGGTTGGATACCAACAGAGGCCTTATAAGTCTTAAAGTGCGACTGTAACTTATTCATACATTAAGACCTGATTGGCAGTGATATGGCAGCAAACCATGCACTGGGGGCTTAATCTGCCTATCTAACTGGTTATGCACACAGCTGCTTCCTATACGGAACATAGCTGTCATGTAGCAGTACTGAGCTGATTTCAGTTCTGAATTAAGATTTTACGTAACTCATCTCCTGTGCAAAGAAAACATTTTGTAGAAACAAATGCATATGGATTGATAAGTTTTAGTATCTGAACTGGAACCTGATTTTAGGATTTGGTGTTGTTTCCCCACACTGTGCTAATATCAGATGTTGATTTCTTGAAAAAGAAACCCTCTTGATTGAGCCAAATTCTTTAAAAGGCGAATTACCCCAGAGGTCTATGTGATGAGCTACATATGTATAGATAGCTATTGCACTGATTTGATCTAAGGTTTTCTAGTGTTTGCAGTAGACAGCCTTGATACTTAGTTTCCTTCCCCCATATACCAATAGGTACAAAAAAACCCTAGTATTATTATATTGGTAATGCTGCTTGAAGCCATGACACTGGCTATTCTGTTTTAAGAGTAACTAGATTTCTGTATTTAATCCTGATGTATACCTTAATGCAGTATGACAATTGTGTACATTTTCCTACTCATAAACCAGTGTTTAGAAAGTGCCCTTTGAAGGACCCTGTATATTGCTGCACTTTTCAGTAATTAAATTTCTGTCTTCAATGAATTGTTTGAGAAATAAAATGGCATACTTTAGCTTATGAAACCTACAGCTATGAGTAAGATAGTAACATTTAGTCTAGTGGATGGCCAGCTCTTTTCACACAAGGGTGGAGCAGATGTAGGGAGTGGTGGAAATTATGTATTGATTTCATTTGTGCCTACCTTCCTACCAACAATGGGCAGTGAAGGTAGCAGTTTTTCAGCTGACTTTTTAAAAATACAACTTGGCAGCAGGTGAGAGAATACTCTGATATGCGTTCCTTGGCCAAGGCATGCAATGCTCCGATGTAGCTCTGAGTGCATGATTCCGGCCTTGGGCTCAGAGTGCCATAGTGGGGTTCCAGGCATTACTTTTATGAAATAAAAATTAAGTTAAACCACTGAAACTGAACACTTGTTTTTACTGCTTGTCTATAGAAATAGTGTAATAGCTTTGTGGTGTAAAGGTTTGTAGATTGATCTATGATTAGTTACTTAAGCCTTCCCCACACCCCAAAAAAGGAAGACAAAAGGAGCAGGCCTTTGATCAGAGGTCCCATATGTCGCCTATCAAGCTAATTGCCTATACACTTGCGTATGATTACCATCAAGCATTTATCACCAATTTTGGAAGATGGGGGATTGGATTTTCCCCAAGGTGGTCAATACAGCAAGGGTAAAAAGGCCATGGGTAGTTTTGTATGTAATAAGTCATGGTACAGACCATGTGGCGTGGCTTTTTACAGGTGAACCCAGCAGTAGTGGTGAAGTGCTGTAAGGATGGTTGTATGGTTTCCATGCTTCCCTAGAGCTTGTTTGTGCACCCGAGTCAGTTTCCTATTTCCACTAGCAAGTTCTGTGCTAGGTCTGCCTAGCAACTACTGAAGAAGGGGCAACCTCACTGTGATGGCCACTCCACCCTCCCTTTTCTGTCTGTGCACTGCCTTCTGATGCTCACCTGCAACTTTGGAATCTCCGCAACAGCAGGGCCTTGTGCTGTGCTGCCTCCAGTAGCAGTGGCCCGGGAGATTAGAGTGCTCAGTGCTCCTGTCCGTCACTGCATTTGAATGGGACTGGCACTTTGAAATGGCTGCGCCCTTGCCCTGTCCTTTGATCCAGTGTTTTCCTCTTGTGATAGCTGCCCTACCCAAGAAGGCACTCATAGGCTGTACCATCAGGAACTTGCTCTGAAAAGCACTTCTCTCCCATGCTGTTCTGATCTCTTTTCCCTGACACTCATTGGGACTGTCAAAAAACTCCACTCCCACCACAGCTGGGGGAACATGAATTCCCTAAAGGGCAATCTTTCCCACATTTCTTTGGAAAGCTCTTCCCAGCAGGACACACTGTCTTCGTCCCTGGCACAGGTCCTATGCTGATACCCTCCATCTGCCTGGTTACAAGGGGAAGTCACTCCTTTCTGGAATATGCAAATCTTGCAACAAGGAGTTGCAGACACATCAACAAAGGGGTGTGTGTGTGTAGGTGGGTACACTTTGGCACAGCACTGTAGGGTTCTGCAAATGTAAGGGTTCTACAAAAAAAAATCTTAATTTTAAAATGGATATTAAAATGAAACCACATGAGGCCAACTATTTCATTGTCAGCATCCAAGCAGCAAACAAGGAAATACATCATGTCATTTGGTTTCTAGGACTCTTATATAGTGTTGGGAATAATCAAAAGCCTATATTTGGGATATTGCCATATAATCAATTTATATTTAAAATGTTTTCTCGCTATTTCCAAACGACCTACATTATGCAAAGCACTCAGGCAAAAGGAGCAGATGAAAGAATATTGTAGGTTCACAATGCTTAGTTAAAAAAATGGGTTCTGTGGGGTTAGGGTTCTGTGGGGGAAAGGTGGACTTCAGAAAGGTTCCATGGCTGAAAAAGTTTGGGAACCACTGCTCTAGAGTTTACAGTGCTACTCTACTAAGTGCTTGCTTCGGATGACAAAACATGAAACAAAGTTGGCTGAGACCATTCCCAAGGGACTGTGTGGCACAATGAAGGAGAGGCAGGTCACACAGGAGCAGAACGCTGTGGGACTGATTTCATGGGCTTATGGGATACCAGTTGACATTAGGAGATGCATGGAAACCATAGGACTATCCGAACCCAGGAGCTGAAAAAAGAGACCACGCCACTTTGCAATTTGGTTTAGTGATGTGTGCAAATGCAGCCATATATTTGAGTAGCTAGAGGAGAGAGTAGGGAGAGATCTTTGGCTTGGTGCTGTGATCATCCTTATGTATAAATATGGTAACCTTAACAAATAATGTAACAATTAGACATGCTAGTATCAACTTCAGCTTTAATTGTGGAACAACTACTTGTTATTAAAATAGCAAGTTCAAAGGGAATCAAAGTTTCCATATAAAAAAAGATTTTCAAAATAATAAATAGTACAGTTTTTCAAAAGAAAAAAAAAAACAATTTCAGTGTTTACTTATTCCCCTCAGCTGATTCTTCATTCAGATACTACCAAACAGTCAAAACACAAGTTTTGCAACATCTTCCTCAGGTTAATATGAAACTAAAAATTAAAATCTACTTTAAAAAAAAAACATCAAACTTATAGGTCACCACTGACTTATTCTTTGAAATTATATTTTTAAAAAACTACCTGCAGCAACCAGTGTATTTTACGTTTAAGAATATATGGACTAATACAATTCAAACATGTAGTGTGTAAGCACACCAAGAAAAATATTTGGGAGTAAAGAAATTTAATTAAAAGTTCAAGTATTTTTTTTTCAAAATTCACATAACTTGCACATTGGCAGATTTTAAAACAGTAAATCTAAGCATCAATATTGAACATTCTGTAGGATTTGTGTGTGGGGGGAGGGGGGAGAGTATCAATGCAATTAGGTATAAACATGTTTACACAGAAAAAAATTCCAGAACTCACAGTATTCCACACCTGGATTGGGAATACGGGAGCCATACTTTTGTCTAAACATTCAAACTTTTGAATACAAATTAATGCTAGTTTAGAATTTAATGCTGTCACATGCAGGTTATGAGCCAAGCTGAATCATTCCCACTTCGAATGTATTATTCCCTAGGTGGGTTTGGCAAGATGTCAGTAGAACGAAGCAATTTTTTTCCACACCTGCCAGCAGTGGTATACACTCTGGCATTGCTGGGCTCTGTTAGTATTAATTATCCTTTTTCAATTAAGAAGCATAATTCCATATTCATCAGCCTTCCTTATCTGATGCCTTCCAAATGTTTTGGAATTAGGCCCCCATCAGCCTTAGCCAACATGGCCAATGAGCAGGAATCTGAGAGGCTATAGGGCAAAACATAGGCATCATATTGCGGAAGGCTTCCACTCTGAGTTCCCATTATGAATTGTAATTAGAAGAAAGGATTGGAAAAGCAATGCTCTCACAGGGTGGGTAGGAAACATTGCCTACTGATCCAGCCATTACTCTGCTTTGGCTTCATAATGTAAGATTCCAAATCCAAGACAAAAGGAAGCAACGTTTCCTGTCTGGAAAGAAAGGGAAAAGGTGGTACTTTGAAAAGAAACAGTACTCAGTAGCATGCAGAAAGAATGTTCAAAGTGAGAAACAAAACTGAAGATGAAAACTATCTCACCCCACCCCAATTTAGCTGAAATACTCTGCTGAAAACCTTCCGTTCAACTGTTTTTTTTTTTAAACCTTTTTAAACCTTTCCCTTGGTAACACTTTATCCAAAAGCAATGCTTGATGTGTCTTGCAATGGGCATTGCTCAACTGTGCAATGTATACTCTACAATTGCATCTCTCTGACAAGAACTAAGGTGCGTACTTTGCATGTGACTAGATGAAACATCACACTAAGAAGCATTTAAATACTCGTACTTTCATCAAAAGGTTTTTGGCACATGGAAATAAAATTACGTTGTTATGCCAAGGTGACATAATATTTGTAGAAAAATAATTCTAACCAATGTCAAACATAACCTGCACCCCTATCCTATGTGACTTTAATTATGTTGTCAATAACAGCAAGGCACACACAAAGTACTACATGTGAATAAAATCCCAAACGAGATATGCCATTTATTATTTGTTAATTAATTCTACTTCTAATTTAGTGTTAACATTTTCAACCTATCAAGATTGTCTTGGCAAATTTAAAAATTCAGAATGTTTTGAGGGGGAAAGCAGCCAAAATTAAATATAGGCACTCTTCTTCAGGGGAACATACATCTTGGTGGTCAATAAAATATGCACCAGGTGTCTCAAGAGTAGTGGATATTTCTCAGAAATTTCAAAATTAATGTCCAAATAATTAGAAAGGGAAAATGACTGCTAACCATTATTTTTTTACAGTATGGTTATAGTTATCTCAAGTCAGAAATTGTTCCCCTGGGTGGCTGTACATTTTTTAAAAGCATGTACTGTTACACATTTATATAAAGGTATGTGTTACACACCCATGTCTTTGGTTTCAATTACCCTGTGTATGTTAGATGAAATTTTTCTGGAAAAAAAATAGTTACTCAAAAGCAAAATCCTTCCCCCTCAAAAATTTACCTTGCATTTAGTTCAGCAGCATACAGAATCCTAGGCAGCTTTTGAAACATTTTATAGTTCAAAAAAGACTAAAACGCAGACAATTCAAGTTGCTCACAGCACAAGGTAATAAACTTACAGACACTAGAGCTCATCCTCTATCCTGCTTCAGACAAAAGGAAAAAGTTTGTCTTTCTTTCATGCAGGATGATACGACGATATCTCTTAAGTATCTGTCTGTGTGACATAAATTCAATTGCCTCTTTAGATATTCAGTGGAGTACAAGAATTGTGGATTAGTTCTTTCATCCTGGATTACTTTTTTCATAATGCTTGAAAGACTCAACCGAGTATTTCAGCATATCATACAACACATACAAGATTGTGACAAGTTATGTCCTGCACATCACAAAAGTCCTTATGCAGCTCAATTTCCACTATATCTAGTAAAACCTATCTCAATAATGGTATTGAATATATTAATTTCAGTAATACTAAAACAGTACAAATGCTCAACTGTCTTATCCAAACATAAATCAACTTGCAAAATAACCGTTTCTCTTTTCTGTTTCTACATCCTCTGCCTCTTGCCTTCTTTCCAACTTCCCCTCTACCTTCTTCAGATTGCTTGAACATCTTCTACACAGCATTTGAAACACATTTTCCATCTCTTCTACATATAAAAATAATGTTTTGCAAAGTTACAGAGACATATTTGAAGAAATTTAGTGCAAATCAATCATATGTACTAATTTTATTCAAAACTGGGCTTGGGTTTATAATAAACTTACATTTGCATTTTGTTTTAAAAGGTACAAATTAACCAAGCAAGTAATTTTTCTGTTTCATAGTGTCATTAAAAGTAGACTTTCACAGCTAGCATGACATAATCTAATCATTCATAAAGCACTCATGACAGAACTGCAAATATTGCAGTTTTTTATTTCTAAATGAAATCTGCAAAATATTTCAATTTACTGCACCACTTCTACAATACCAAAACAGTTGTCTGTTTTAAAGAGACAAACTGCTCTTGCTTTGGATACTTTATTTGGCATGTTCTTCAATATTTGATAATAAAAAATTTTCCTGAGTGTTCTTTGGCTCCATTTTAACCTGGTTTCCAAACCCCACCAAGGGCTTCTTCAAGTTTGTCTCTGTATGCTGCATAGCGCCTTTTTAAGATTTGTAACTGCTCATCTTCTTCCTTGTCCAGTATTCGCAGAAAATTCTGTAGTTCAGGAAAGCTAAAGGCTTCCCACTGCAAGAGAGAGAGAGAGGCTTGTAAAAGGAACAGGCTTGTAACAGGAATAACTCAATAGCTATTGATGGGGCCAAGGTTACAGTTCTCACTTATTCTGCAGAGAACTCCAAAAATCTAGTCTCCTAGATGTGGGGCTTTGTGCCCCCAAAATATATGAAACTTCTTATATTAAGTTAAAGCATGGACTGGATATTTTATTTAATTTTAAATTATCACCAAACAGCTTCTTTTGTTGTCTACTGTGATAGGTTTCTATTAGAAAAGATATTCAATTGCAATAGTTGGACTTGAAGATCCTTATGAATCTTTCCAAGCTATTGATACCAGGAACCCAGATGAAACTTACCAAAACTTCTCCAGGTTCATGCTCACGGAGAACAAAGCTAAGCATGTCTGTTCTTGGGCCAGCCACCAACCGCAAATACAGAGGATGTTCTGTTTCAGAGAGCTTGCACATATAAACTGTAAACAAGAAAATGACACACAAAAATGCATATAGGATCTCTGATAAATCAGGATGACAATCAGTGCATGCATAAAGTCCTCCAAAAATAAAATGTGAACTTCCATGCTTTAGCTTCACAAATGAAAAATTGCAATCCACATGCCAGAATGTTACACATAATTATTAGTTAATTTACTCTATGATTTATTGCACTGATATCCATTCTTTTCGCCCATCAGCTCAAGGCTGCACACATGGCTGCATACATGCATCCAATTTATCCTTGCAGGACATCTTCTGAGGCAGCTCAGAATAAAAGTTGGTATGCACTGCAGGAGTGTATCCTGTGTGGAGGGTAGCCAGGGATGGACAGAGTCACCCCCCACCTTACTTGAAGTAGATACCATTTTACATGAGAGTTCTCTGGCTCAAGGTTTTAGATGATGCACCTGGTTGTACAGAAGCTCCGATTCGCTGTGAAGCTGTACACCCTTCACTGTTAGAGCAGCTGATTATTATACAACAAATGCATGATTTAAACATGGACAACTTAATTTTAAATACATGATTCATAATTGGTCCTTTGTCTTTATTTTAAAATGAGTCCACTTTATTTTTCCCAACATACATTAGTTGCAAAATATATTTGCAAATTAGTTGCAAATTTTTTCACAATATCCACATTACAGACTTACAGACTAATGGTGTATACATGATACCAAACCACTATCTCTAACACACTCATCCTGGTCATTTCTTCACTACCATTCAAAAGATCTATTAACCTACCTTGATCTTCCTTGTGGCAACGTTTATAAAGTGCAAACTTGGCAGGATTATCAGCCACCAGAAACTTTTTGAGCAACGCTTCAACCACTTCACGGACAGTGTTAGTACTGCTGATGTGAAGAGTATTCATGTAGCCATTGGGCAGGTAGAAAGTTGCCTCATTGTTGTTGCTGATATGCTGCCCCGGATTCACAGAATCCCGTAGTGTGATGGGTCTGGACAGTTCCATCTGAACTTTGATGAAGCCAGTGTACACTCCGCTGGGGTTCTAAAACAGAATCACGCACACTATAAAAATTGTACTTGTGAATATTTGGAAGCTAAAGGAATAAATTATATTTTACATGGCTTCTGGAGAGAATTGAAGAGCAAGGTCTCCTTTGGTGGGAGACTATTATTTGGATCCTGTCCTCTCACAAAGGGGGGGGGGGGGGGCGGCAGCAGCAGCCAGTGGTCAAGCACATGCTTTTCATACTGAAGATTCCAGTGTGATCCCAGTATCTGCAGGTGGAGCTGAAAAAATTCCTTCCAGAAATGCTGGACAGTTGATACTAGTGCCAAGAATGCTGGCCTTGTGGGCCAACAGTCTGACTCAATCAAATGCAAGCTTCTTATGCTCCAGACAGCTATGCACACCATATCGTAGCTGGTATCTGGATTGGCTTATTGTCATCCTTTCTCCTCCTTCCACATCTTTTTGTCTTGTGTCTAAACACACCATCTGCCAGTACTGTGAAGGCTGTCTATTGCATAAGAGTAAGAAGTATTTTAAGCATAAATACACTCAAGGCTAAGAAATAAATATGAGTAGTACGCTGAGACAGAAATGCATTTTCAAAATTCACATGCCAAAAACACTAACAGGCATTTATTCCTTTTAACTACTCAGAAACAATAGACAAGTCTTACCAATGTCATCTTTAGCTTATCTGTAACATCTGAATTGTATGTTTCAACTTTCTCCTTGATTGCTTCTTTGGTGAGGTAATTGTGAACTTCTCTCTCTTTCTGAACATCCTAAAGCAAAAAAAAAAAAAGAGGAAAATTTCAAAGGTACAGGAAAAATAGTACTATATAATATTGTTACTATTGATTACAATTATATTCCACCTTTTTCTTTTCTCTTGCAAGGAAGGTCCAAGTCACTCAGTGAGTTTCATGGCCAAGCAAGGATTAGAATCTGGACTCCCAAGTCCCAACACTCTATCTCCTACACTACTCTGCCTTTTGTTACGTTTTTATCGAACATCTAAAAACACTAATATTTTGCAAAGAAACTGGTCAAAATAGCCATGCACCAAGGCTACAATATAAACATATGTGTTCTGTTTACATTCCAAGCAGCAGTCATGCACAATGGCTCAGCCTTTACCTCTCTGAAAGAGATGGAGTAAAGCCACCCTCTTACACATCTACTCATCATGTTTCTGTATTAGCTAAAGCCTACAAGTGCTGACAGCCACACACACACTCTTCAGGACACATGATGAAGCTGTGAATTTCTAAGCTTTGACAAGATGCAGAAATCAAAGTCATGGCGACTGTACCATCAAAGGGCTTGCAAATGGACTGATGGTATGGGACAGGATTCAGAATGCCTAATTCCGTTTCTACAAAGCTAGGTAAGCTAACATGCCTATCTACCTTACAACCTTGGTACAAGGCATCTATGATAGAGGGAAGAAGGACAGGATACAGATTGCCTATTTTAAAAGAAGATTTTTTAAAGACTGAGAAAATAATTCCTTTCAACTACAACTGAGTTGCATCAGTGAGAGCAGGAGGGGTGATTCCCCCCTCCCCTTTATTTATTTATTATTTAAAGTTTTTATATGCCGTCCCCTTGCTGCACAGCCTCGGGACGGCTCACAGAAATAAATGAATAAGACAATAACAATTACACTTAAAACCTGGAAACACACTGGCTGCACAATTAAAATATATAAATATTAAACATTATTAAAATACTGTTTGAATTAAAAGGTCTTGGCCTGGTGCCGAAAAACAAATAACGATGGCACCAGGCAGACCTCTCTGGGGAGTGCATTCCACAGATGGGGCACCACCGCAGAGAAAGCCCTCCTCTGGGTATTTTGCTTCCTGATATCTCTCACGGAAGGCTCCCGGAGGAGAGCCTCTGCTGCCAATCTCAAGGGGCTGGAGGGCAAATATGGTTGCAGGCGTTCCTTCAGGTATCCGGGTCCCAAGCCGTTAAGGGCTTTATATGTGATTACTAACACCTTGAATTGAGCCCGGACTTCAATGGAAAGCCAGTGAAGCTGGTAGAGGACTGGGGTTATATGAGAATAACGCCCAGTCCTCGTCAGCAACGTGGCTGCTCTATTCTGCACCATCTGAAGTATCCGGACTGTCTTCAAGGGCAGCCCCATGTAGAGCGTGTTACAGAAATCCAACCGGGAAGTAACCAATGCATGCATCACTGTCGCTAGGCAGGCGTCCTCCAGGTAGGGACGCAGCTGATGGATTAGCCAAAGCTGATGGAAAGCACTCCTCACCACCGCTGCCACTTGAGCTTCCAAAGTCAGCTCCGGGTCGAGGAGCACTCCCAAGCTGTGGACCCTGACCCTATATCCTCTCACACACCCTCCTGGGCAGATTTTTGGGCATCACTGCAGGTTGCCCAGAGGGAAGAAGAAACGAACCATGCTAACAGACCTTAGCTATAGCAGAACATTAATTTTCCACATTAATCTTGTTTGCATGATACAACAGCCCAGATTAATTTACCTATGAGGAGGCTGTCATGTCATACCAACCTGTAATTTTTGCATGGTGCCCATGCCTGTCTGGCTTGCCATCCATGTTGCATGAACCCAGGTGGCAGGGCTCAGGGTTAGTCTCCTGCCACCTTGATTTGCACAATATGAAACCCATGGCAAGCCTAGTGTCATACAGCAATGGTGCTTCCACGCCCCAGGAACAGCACAATACCCGCCATGGGTATGTTAACCTTTGTTGGGCTTTCATAACATGTGAACCAGCCCATTTTCTAGGACCAAACCAAAAGCATTTAGCATTCTTCAGGTGAAGATGAATCCTTGAAACACTACTCCACCACAAATGTGATCCTGCCCATGATATAGCTTAAAAGCAATATGAAAAGCTGCTAATTATCCAGGAGTATAGGCTGATTAACACTTATTGGATTTCCTGTAGCCAGATATAGCCTTGCTATAAAAGTAGAGACCTAGCGCTCCCAACCTACTTACTCCAAATGGTGCACTGATTCCTACAGTCTATTGTAAATCGATTCCTTAAGCATAGGTTGAATCTGAAAAGGTGTTCTCAACTCAGACTAAGAGGGCTATCACATTTTCATCATTTGCACAAGCAGCATATACTGTATGAAAGTGTTTCAGCTTTAACGAACTGGAACATCTGTTAAAGGTGCAATCTTATTCATGCATACAGGAAAAATATATTAAATTCCAAGCCAGTCCCAAGAAATTGCAGCTCCTTATTCCTGACACTATCAAACACTGTAGAACAGTGTTGTTTTGGCCTACAATCTTCATCAAATGGTGAACGATGGTGCTAGTTGCAAGCCGAAACTCTGAGAGAGTCACAGGTTGTCCACATGTTTAGCAGCTGCTGAATGGGGGCATAGCATTTCTTCAAAGCTCTCACATTGTACTGTCTGGACAAACTTGTATCTGGTGTCCTTGAAATTAAAGGTAAACTTATTTCTAAAAGCGTAAGGTAAAGGTTACATTTATGCTAAACCTAGACACACCAATATCTGGATAACCTAGCTTTGTGAGATCTTGGAAAACCAGGCTCTGTGTCTTCATGCAACTTCTGTAGAAATCTCTGCTACAGAAAATCATGATATAAAGAGAACTAAAAATGTAATGCAGTTTGTTTGTGTCTGCCTGTGACAGAGTGAATGAAAGAGACTTATATGTACTTGAGATGCCAAAGTAACCGATCAAGTTTATCATGATCTCATTCCAAAACCACCAGTTTTGTCATACCCTATATGGTTGTGCTTTAACTGCTGGCATGGAACCCAGATCTAAACAGAGTTGGTTGTTTAAATTTGAAGGCTGAACTGCAAGAGCAGCATTTAGACTCCTAGCACTTGATTTACTGCAAGAGGCACAACAAAGTAAAAGAATGAAACAGAAAGGGTTCTGTTTTGCTGTAACATACCTTTTGTACGGGCTCATCATATAGTAATACAGCTTTCTGACTGGTATCCTGTCATATATTTTGCACCCTAGGATGGTATTTCTTTGCTGTACATTTGTCAGCTTGGGGGGGTGGAGGTCACAAGAACATACCACAAAAGACCCTCCTGCTTTCTGTTTTTCCCCCACACAAGGAACTTTTTTCCCACTGAACATCTGAACAAGTTTGGATTGAGAAAAGTTTTCTTTTAGAATGATAAATAAAACGTTCTTATATTTCTAGATAACCATTACTTCCTCAAACAATTTTTAAAAACCATATAAATAGGAAGGGGTTAAAACAAGAGATGTAGAATTTCTAAAAATATTGAAGTCATGGAGGGAAAATACTAAGTACAGTTTGGTCAGAAAATAATCATACATTTACCGAGTTTCCTTTTCAATTGTTTTTAACTGTAATGATAATTTTATAAGCAAAGCAGGTTCTGTATGATACATTTTGGGTTCTTAAAAGTTACAAAGTGACATTGGGTGTCAGCCTATGGGGATACCCATAGTCCTCCAAACTTCCAGAGTCAAATGTTTTCTCTCTTCACTTCTTCCTCTCTGCAAAACAGCCAGACAGTCAAATTCACCTGTCTAACTACAGTGATACAGAGAGAGAAAAAAGGAGGCTAAAGGCACCACCAACAAATGATGCATCTTGGCAGCAGTAGTCTCTTCCCCTCTCCACATGCCCCAGGACTAAAGCACTTAATGCTCCAAGGTCACTTCTGCAGTTGTTGCAGTACTTTCTGTGCCAACTGAGAGGCAGCAGAGAAGGCGATCCCAGCAAAAAACTCACCTCCAAAATTAGAATTCTCTGGCCTTCGAACTACAGAACCAAGCAATCCTAATGGTTGCTTAGAGACTCAGTTTAGATCTGTAAAGACCACATAAAACAAACCAACCAAAAAACAATACTGCATATTTACCATTTTTTGAAACATTTCAATATTTTCCTAATAGAAAAACTGAAAAAAAAAACTATTTTTCCCATGGCTTAAAAATTTCTGAAAAATTTTTATCTCTAGGCTGAACACTTTACAACTATTCTGAGTCATGTCAGTGTGACACGATAAATGAATTCAATTTGAGTTGAAATCTCTGACTCATTCCAAAGTGACTGGGCTTAAAACTCTAGCCTGTTAAACCTAAACAGCCTACAATGTCAGGCTGGATGTAAATCGGAAGTGGCAAGCACATGGAAGGCAGAAAGCTTGCCTGTGACCAGATCATTGTGTGGCTTCCTGATTTATCTACTTGGCAGTCTAATCCCAAATATCCCTCTTCCCATTCTGGTTAATGTGGTGGCAGGGGCTCAAAGCTACACTAATTATTATGAACAGAAAATCTTGATCAACTTCAAATGATAACCACTGGAATGTATTTTTGGAAAATGGAATATCCATGGGTTTAAGTACTAAGTGATAAGAAGTAACACTTGATTTCTCATCTGCAGTGAAAGCATGTGCATGCGCGCACACCCGCTCACACACACAGCCTTTGAACATAAGCAAATGAGCAAGTTATTCCGGAAAGAGGCCATCAGGAAATGCAGTGAGAGTGGCTGGCTTTGTTCTCAAGCGTAAATGGAATGATGTCTGCTGGTTTTCTAATTCAAGGTTCATGCTTTCTTTCTCTTTTTTTTTGAAGAGCAACTTCCTTATCTGCTCGCTCAGGAAATCAGTCACAAGGAAATGCTGTTGCAGTTCCACCCTTCCTTCAAAATTAAAAGTCCAAGGTAGAACTGTTAAAAGTTCAGTCAAGACATGAGAGGCCTATTCTGCCTTGAGAGGATAAATGACAGAAGTCTACAAAATAGTA